TTATTTATATTTGTCTAAGACTTAATATGTAATCTAATTGTGATGACCACATTTAATATAATTAATACAATATAATATCATTCATTTCTGTCTTAAAGTATTGTATATGTTTATACAGAATGTGTAAGCGTTATTGTGTATATATTATAGGCAAATGAAAGTCAAGGAGTTATCTCCCTTGTATGTCGGTATTGTGGTGCATGTATATTACTGCATATATTCTATTATAATCGTTTAGCGTACAGTCTATCTAGTGGTCTAATGGATGAGTGATATATGTAATACATACTTGTAATAAGCCTATGCTATGTATCTAGCATTAATGATAATGTTTCCTTATTATTTATTATGTAATTATGTGTTTCAGGGTGTCTGATATCTTAGATCCTTGATCTTTGGCATCTGCAATAAAGACCTCAACCCCGTAATGTGTTTGTTGACTCGTAAAAGACACGCACTAAACTGCTACAAACTGTTCTCATGCTGTTTGATTATATTATTTTTAATCAATCTACAGGTTTCATGGCAAGTAATATCTAATTAATCAAGGGTCCAGCGATCTAAGGTGAGGCAACTCCATCTGCTCTACCACCAAATGATCATCATCGGTCGTGCGATTCCGGGCTTCGAACCCGCGCCAAGCTGATCCTGAACTAGCTACGACGTGATATAACCACGCTGACGTCTTCCTGTTATTTTAAAATGATTTTTTTTAAAAAGGTCTTGCCAAGGAACTAGTGTAACAATCAATAATCAGGTGTATCGTGCAGTCCCTTTACGAGAACGCTTAAGCTTGGATTTTGTAAACGTCCATCCAATAAGCAGGAAGCAGTCAACGGTCGCTCCTAGGAATCCGAAATTGCAATGTTTCCGAGGAACGTGGGAAGGATCCGAATATTTCGTCGTAATCCGGCCAATCCTGTTTCGTGTGATGAGGGTGCGAGCGGCTGACGGTTTTGACATGCTTCACAAATACACAGTAACTATCTGAAACATTGCCGCGGCACACGCTTGCGAATCCGAAGTAACATTATCGAGTGCGCGGCGTGGACGTCGCTCGAACGTGAAGACGCGGTTATGCTTGCAGATCCGAAAGGATCCGCGAAATACACATATTTCAAAACCTGGCACAGCAAATAATGTCCAAATGTCTACGTCAAAAACTCGGATCGGATCACCGCGTCAAATATGGTGGTGTTCCGAAAACTGCTGGTACGTATGTAGAGTGAGAGAGAGAGAGAAAGATCGAGAGAGATTATACGCTTTTGTATGTACATAGTAGTATGTACGCGTAAACATCATCGCCCTCGATGGCGAGGTGAGACGCAAGCGCTCAGTGTGAGCGAGCATCTGAGTATATTCAGATTGTAGTCAGTGTGAGCGATCTCTCGGATTTTTTTAACCCATGCAACCCAGTACACATTTAATTGTTGTCTTATTTTGAATGCGTACAATAGATTTGTGCCCGGCATGTTGTTTTTTTCATACCACACTAAAAATCAGTGTTTATGCACACATTATTCTGTATGGGTCAGGCTCAGCGTGTGTGTGTTTTGAGGGGTGTGTGTTGGGGCGTGTGTGTGAGGGTGGTGGTGGTGGGGGGGGGGGGATGCTGTTGTTGTTGTGTGTAGTGGTTTTTTTGGTACTGCTTTCTAAATGTGAAAAAATATACGTAAACTTACTTCATTCATTTTAATATATCAAACAAATGTTGTTTTTGTTTTTTCACATACGTAAAAAAATCACCTGTAGAAAAAAGTCCCCCCATACCCATTTAGCAATAGTTTGAGAGATCCGAATTCACAACTGACGCGTACAGGGCTGCGCTGCTCCCTCCACAACACGGCGCGTGCAAAGATAGCCGCTAATTCACATACGGACAGATTGAGTTGGTCCTACGGGGACATGCCTCTTTAGGATCCGAAGCTCCAAGGAATATACACATCACTCAGATGGATCCGAAATTAGACGTACGACGCTTTACACGGCAAGAATTTGCATCAAGCGAGCATAAAATCCGAATAATGGTCCCTCAAAGCATGATTGCCTCTTCCCAGCTGCTTAGCGCGTGCAAGAAGGTACTATGTCCCGATCTTACACATTTTCACAACTACTTTCATCAAATCCGTAAAATATGTACCTCAAATGCAGGCGAAGCTCCGCAGAAAAGTAGTACACGGAAAATAATAAGGAAATAGCTTCGCGGGTCCTCACAATGTGAGCACAGTACGCCGGCGCCGCCACAGATCCGAATAAAAGCAGACTGAAGTTTCAGGCTTCGCGGATCCGAAATTACGATGGCGTGGTGCGCGCCGGTTCGCGCAACACTCGCTAGGCGATCAGGATCTCTGTAGTGGGATTCGGACCGGGATTGGCGACGGGATTTTGTTATACGAGCGGGATGACGGACTGCTGAGAAAACACGCGAGCTGCTGTGTGCCTCTCGCAGACGTTCTCGGTCAATAGCGCACGTTCTCTGTTCACAAAAAGGGTTGCTGTTTTGCTGTGTGATATGGACATTAATTTACTCAGACTAAAAAGTGAATATGTTTTCGGTATATCATCTTGTTAACAAAATCATGTACTTTGCAGACTTACCTTTAATTACATTAGTCTAATTGGCTACTCAAATCATTTCTAATCACAATACATACTAATGTATCATGACATTGTACAACATTGCATATCATGTGGATGATACTGCAAAGTATACTCTGTAGCAGACATGCAATTGAAATGATAAAGAGTATATTGGTGATTTACTAAGACTAAAATATCAGACCCTAACCTCCTTATGATAAATATTAAAATATAATCCTAAAGAAATTTAAATTAACTTATCACAATCAGTGCTGTAAAGAACATTAATGTCGAAGTGTTTAAAGCTAAAAATCTGGTCACATGCTACAGAAACAATAGAAAAGGCAATCAGTGGCCAAGCCTCATCTTCCCGAGGCAGGAGAGTTAACTGATTATAAAAGTCCAGTTTCCATCCTTGCCGAACTAGACTGGTATTATGGAGTTAATTTTGGCTGGACTAACGAGTCTATGCATAGTCCAATCAAAATCGCGCAACGAAATCGAAATCTTAAACTGTCATGCAATTTTCGGTCGATTGCAGGATTTTCAATGCATTTGCACCGCCAAATTGTTGTCAACAAATATTCAAAATCTTTTCATGTTTTTAATCAAGACGCTCACGTGATTTGATGCACTTCGCGATGTAAGGCTCGTTTTATCACAATGTAGATCTTGACTGGGCGCCACCATTTTGTTTGAAGCAAATGCAAGTGATACGAGAGGTTGAATCTGATTGGTCCATAGGAGAGGCATAGAAGGGGCATAACTCGTAATAGCCACTAGTGGCGCTACGATCGAGCCACGGAATTCCCGCCTTGTTCGGCAAGGGTGGAAACTGGACTTTTATAGTCAGGTAACTCACTTGCCTTGGGAAGATGGCCAAGCCTCGGCTGGACCACATCACAAAATACTTAATGACTTTACCTAGGGATTAGTAGAGTGTGCTTGGGTTCGTTTATGGAGCTGCAGCCGCACCCGTACTTAATTTTGTTTACCTTAGTTTAAAATACGTAAGTTAAAATTCACGATATTAACATTCTGCTACAGATCCCCGGACGCATCATACCATTATACGTTAAGATATGGTATCCTTGCACGGGCTGGTGGACTCGGAGTCAGTATACCTGTGGCGGAGTGGGGTATCCTTGTTAAACTGCGGCATGGTATCTCAGTGGGCTAGCACTATACAACCAGCATTTGTCCGGACAAGCTCTCTCTCTCTCTCTCTCTCTCTCTCTCTCTCTCTCTCTCTCTCTCTCTCTCTCTCTCTCTCTCTTATGAAGTAAACGTTTCATATGTTCATCAGAATCACATCAGAAGGATATGGTAAGCATGGAGATTTTCTCGAACTAGTATTAGTTATCCTCTTACCACAAGTATGGTCGCCTTTTATGGTAAGCAAGGATGGCTGAAGACAGATTCTATACCCAGGATCTTCACAGGTCTCTCGTATTGTTAAAATATTCGTATAGCTGTTTTAGCATTGTTGACTTTCTAGTTTCTAGTTATCTCGAAATTTCTGTTTTCAGACGATAGATAAAAGAGTCATCTGTAGAAAAATAATTAATTCCGTGCAAATGACAGAAAAAAACATTTATAATATTATTTTATCTATGTAATATTATATCATTCTGGCTAGCATATTTTTTTATAATTGATATGAGGTTTTGAGTATGACTATTGAGAACAATTTGCATACATTCCAGTAAAGATCATTTAAAATACGTATAATTTCTAAGTTTATCTGGATAGAAGTTGTATAGAAATAACATTAGCTGTGTATTCTCAGCGGATGAGATCAGCACCCTAACCTAAGTGTATGATAATGCATATAATTATTTATCAAAATCATGTGGAAGAAGTAAATTTTAAGCGGATATCAATTTGTTTACATTCAAATATAATAAAGTCGGCTTACAACGTCCAAGTTGCGGACGTCAATCACCAAAACCACTCATTGTAACCAGTAAAATATTTTCAATGATCGGTCCCTTACATCCAATGAAAAATTGTTTCTCCCCTATCACATGACACATCTTTGGTCAAAATGGTGGTGCCAAGTTCAAAAGTCGCTAGTGTTTTTAGAGCCGGTCTTTTCAAAGACAGAGTTGCTATAGTAACAGGAGGAGGAACAGGAATAGGAAAGGCGATAGCCCTGGAGCTTCTGTATCTAGGTTTGTAGAGGGAAAGCGTGTCAGTGCAAGACATTGAGGGAAACCTCAGCAACCCTGATAAAACCGGTCGGAGACATCCACTGGAAATCCACAGCATACCTGCATCAGATGTAGTTTGGTGGATGACGTATAATTAAATAAATGGTGTAACTTGGTTATCGAACCAGGCCCTTTACAGAACATATGTACACACTTTTAATGCAAATATTGCCCAGTCATCTTGACGCAAATCACTATGCAGAGTTATGTCCCTTAGACTTGCCAGCAGGCATATCACAGGTCCAATCCGGGATACCTCCCAGTCATTATGGTCGTGATTTGTCGGCATCTCACCTGTGGTCGGGCCTGTGTCATGTCCTTTGGACAACATGTTTCGTCTTTCCAGTCCCCAGTAGTGTGTCCTAAGGCTAGCGTGGTAGGCTCTAGGTTTTAAATGGACTCTGACCCTATTGACGATCTGGGTTAGAATTGATCTTCAGCAACCCATGTCGTAAGAGCCGACTGATCAGTTGGCCGGGCTTGCTGACTTGGTTGATGCATTTCACAGAAGATCTATCCGAATTATGTAGATTGATGCTCATAAATTATAATGCAGTCACAAGAGTGTCTGGTCCAGACTTGTTTATTTACAGAACACCATCATATATATATAGTTGGAAAATTGCTTAGTTTGTTATTAAACTACAAACAAACAAACAAACAAAAAAACATCGGATCCCAAACCAAGGCTATCATGTAGCCATTGTGGGCACTCAATTTTTGATAGAATCTGAACTTTCTTTTGTCACAGTTTTCTCCATTTTGTAATGCAACATACAGTGATTTTTTTATTTTAATTTCTCTTATTTTGTATGAAATTTTAAGTTGATAATCTTTTAATTCCTGTTCAAATTTTTTAAATTATCACAAATTCAATTTGAATTCTATAAAAAAAACTTATCACAGTGCATGTGTGAGTGCATACTGAAGGAAACTGTTAATTCCTGTTCCAATTTTTCAAATTATCACAAATTCAATTTGAATTCTATAAAAATAACCTTATCACAGTGCATGTGTGAGTGCATACTGAAGGAAAATTTGATGCATGTAAGATGATGCATTCCCATTTTGCTTTGTTATGAAGGATGCAAGGTAATGATCGCATCTCGCAAGACTGAGCAGCTGGAGAAGGCCTCCGTGGAAATGTGTAAGCAGATCGACAGACAGGGCCGTGGACCTGCACAACTACATCACGTACAGTGCAACATTCGAAAAGAGGAGCAGGTCAGGAGCAGGAGCTTGTTGACACATTGTTGTTTTTTGTGAGAAATGAAAGCACTCAGGGGTTTATCTTGGCCTGCTCAGAGGTTGAGTGAGTGAGTATGGTTTTACGCCGCTTTTAGCAATATTCCAGCAATATCACGGCGGGGGACACCAGAAATGGGCTTCACACATTGTACCCATGTCGGGAATCGAACCCGGGTCTTCGGCGTGACGAGCGAACGCTTTAACCACTGGGCTATCCGACCGCCCCATTTATTATTATTATACCACAAGTCTGCAGCAAATGTTTTACATGCATCAAATGTCAGTAAAACTTCCAAAATTGGAATAACAAATTTCCAGATTTATGATAGTACAGTTAATAACTATCGCTTGTGCTTTGTAGGGATGACTGACAACAAACTCACTCAGAGGAATAGGCCCTAATGCTTAGTTTTACCTTATTGTATTTAATGCAATTTTAAATTCCTTGGAATTTGAGAAAATAAGGACATTAAAAAATTTGCAATTTTGAAAAAAATAAAAAAAATTATTTTGGAATCCAAGGTATATACCTTTACACTGTTGTCAGAATTAGTGGAATTTCCTCCCAAGTGTTACATTGTTACAAACCCGACAGCAAGATGGGGCACTGTGACATTATTTCTTGTGTTGTTTACTGGTTTTTGGCTCCTCAGTAGCATAGGTAGGTCTAAATATAATTTAGAATAAAGTTGTGTTGCTTAATATCTTAAAATATCATTTGGCATGGAGTTGTCTAAGAAGGCTCTGTTCTCTTTGTAAGAGATCGGCAGCTGGCAGAGATAACAAACAATGCAACTGATAAATTATTATTTTGAAAGTTGAATTTCATTTTGTTTTAGTTTTGTGGCTGTATCTATGTATCTGCTGATGTGAGTCTGGTAAATGACAATACAACTGGAATATTGTATATATTTTGTTTGATTGTGGCCTTTGGTTCCAGTCTGTTGAATCTGAAAACCTGAAAATTAATAAAGTGCCGCGGTAGAAATTGGCACTAGTCCTGTAGTCCTTGCCAAACTGCCCAATAGTTGAGGTCTCATAAGGACTAGTAGAAATTTAAGGGTTTTGCTATATGTTATCATTATAAGGACTAGTGGACTAAAACTGTTAGTTTCTACCGCTGAAAGTGTTACGGAAACTTAAGATAATTTGTTTTGCTACTAGGTTTTCAAAAAATGAAAACCCCAGAGCAGTATTAGAGGTACAATTATTCCATAAAAGTATGTGAGGAAGAGGTGATTAAAAGAATTTAAAGAAAGAAAAGGAATGTTTTCTCCCAGTTTATCTCATATCAACCCTGACGACATTTCTTTTGTTTTGCATCTAGATAAGAATATACTAACAAATAAAAAAGTGGAAAAAACAAGAACTAAAAAGAACTACTTTCTTTATCATCATGTTATTCTGCTTTGTTTTTAAGAAGGAGTTTTATTTATGTATTTTGTTTTATCGTCAAAATATTATGTTATAGAAGAAATGAAAATGCCTGGCCTTAGACAAATTATCTGAACTGTGTGAGCATGGTTTCAGGTGAAGAACCTGATGTCTGAAACACTGTCCACGTATGGGAAGATCGACTTTCTTGTGAACAATGGAGGAGGGCAGTTCCCCAGTGCCGCAGCTAACATCTCTCTGAAGGGCTGGAACGCCGTGGTGGAGACCAACCTCACCGGTACATTCCTCTGCTGCCGAGAAGGTACATGTCATCAAGGACCTATCAATTATATACTCAGAGGCGGATATTTTGCCCCAGATCTGCAGCAATTTTCAGTAAAATTCTTTGCTTGTATTTCACTGAAATCAGTTGAAGAGGAATGAATGCTTAAGAAGTTTAACATAGTTTCTGATAAATCTGATAACCAGTTAAGTCATGTATAACTCGGCCAGTCATTATTCTACGTTTGTATTGCTCTGTCTTGCAGCTTACACCTCTTCTTTGACAATCCCCTGGACTCCCTCACTCCCCCTCCTAACTGCCCCCTTTGACTCCCTCACTCCCCCTCCTTCCAATCCCCTTGACTCCCTCTCTCCCCCTCCTCCCTGCCCCCATAACTCCCTCACTCCCCTACTCCCTGCCCCCCTTGACTCCCTCACTCCCCCTACTCCCTGCCCCCCTTGACTCCCTCACTCCCCCTACTCCCTGCCCCCCTTGATTCCCTCACTCCCCCTACTCCCTCCCCCCTTAACTCCCTCTCTCCCCCTCCTCCCTGCCCCCCTCACTCCCCCTCCTCCCTGCCCCCTTGACTCCCTCACTCCCCCTACTCCCTGCCCCCTTGACTCCCTCACTCCCCCTCCTCCCAACTCCCTTGACTCCCCCTCCTTCCAATCCCCTGGACTCCCTCACTCCCCCTCCTTCCAACCACCTTGACTCCCCCACACCCCCTCCTCCAAACTCCCCCTTCTTCCAATCCCCTGGACTCCCTCACTCCCCCTCCTTCCAATCCCCTGGACTCCCTCACTCCCCCTCCTCCCAACTCCCCCTCCTTCCAATCCGCTGGACTCCCCCACTCCCCCTCCTTCCAACCCCCTGGACTCCCTCACTCCCCCTCCTTCCAATCCCCTGGACTCCCCCACTCCCCCTCCTTCCAACCCCCTGGACTTCCTCACTCCCCCTCCTTCCAATCCCCTGGATTCCCCCACTCCCCCTCCTTCCAACCCCCTGGACTCCCTCACTCCCCCTCCTTCCAATCCCCTGGACTCCCCCACTCCCCCTCCTTCCAACCCCCTGGACTCTGTCACCCATCCTCCTCCCAACTCCCCTGACTCCCTGACTCCCCCTCCTTCCAATCCCCTGGATTCCCTCACTCCCCTCCTTCCAATCCAGCTTGACTACCTCTTCCTCTCCCCCTCCTTCCAATCCAGCGTGACTACCTCTTCCTCTTCCCCCCTTCCAATCCAGCTTTACTGCCTCTTCCTCTCCCCCTTATCACACTGTATTCCTCTCTCCACCCTTACCATGGCCTGGTATATTGTAGGTCCTCCTAACAACTGCCTACTAAATGATTAGCATATTTCCATCCCTCAAATACAGGGTTTGTGTAGCTTCTGTACCTGTTGTACTTCCCATTTAGTCATTTATTTATTTCATCAAAGGTCAAGGTCGCTAGAATGCATGCAGGGTATTGCAAAACAAAGTCTTTTTAACAATGTTTCTGTGACAACCAGTCTACAACCAGTGGATGCAGGAGCATGGAGGCATCATCGTCAACATCATCGCTGACATGTGGAAGGGTTTCCCCTCAATGAGGTGAGCAAGCTACAACCAGTACATGGTTGGTTTGGCAATATCAGAAGTTTTAAACTTCAATGCTTTGCCCCATTATTAGTATGATGTCCTGTCATAGGTTTGACCTAACTACCATTTTGTAAACCATTATGATGACACCACCGTGTGTTGATGTTACAGTGTGTTGAGGATGTTACAGTGTTGAGGATGTTACATTTTGTTGAGGATGTTACAGTGTGTTTAGGATGTTACAGTGTTTGGAGGATGTTAGTGTTGAGGATGTTTCAATGTTGAGGATGTTTCAATGTTGAGGATGTTAGTGTTAAGGATGTTACAGTGTGTTCTTGATGTTACGGTGTGTTGAGGATGTTACAGTGTGTTGAGGATGTTACAATGTGTTGAAGATGTTACAGTGTGTTGAGGATGTTACAGTGTGTTTAGGATGTTAGTGTTGAGGATGTTACATTTTGTTGAGGATGTTACAGTGTGTTTAGGATGTTTCAATGTTGAGCATGTTACATTTTGTTGAGGATGTTACAGTGTGTTTAGGATGTTACAGTGTGTTGAGGATGTTACAATGTGTTGAGGATGTTATAGTGTTGAGGATGTTACAGTGTTAAGGATGTAACAGTGTGTTGAGGATGTTACAGTGTGTTGAGTATGTTACAATGTGTTGAAGATGTTACGGTGTGTTGAGGATGTTACAGTGTGTTGAGGATGTTACAATGTGTTGAAGATGTTACGGTGTGTTGAGGATGTTACAGTGTGTTGAGGATGTTACAATGTGTTGAAGATGTTACAGTGTGTTGAGGATGTTACAGTGTGTTTAGGATGTTACAGTGTTGAGGATGTTACATTTTGTTGAGGATGTTACAGTGTGTTTAGGATGTTACAGTGTGTTGAGGATGTTACAGTGTTGAGGATGTTAGTGTTGAGAATGTTAGTGTTGAGGATGTTACAGTGTGTTCTTGATGTTACAGTGTGTTGAGGATGTTACAGTGTGTTGAGGATGTTACAATGTGTTGAGGATGTTATAGTATTGAGGATGTTACAGTGTTTAGGATGTTACAGTGTGTTGAGGATGTTACAGTGTGTTGAGTATGTTACAGTGTGTTGAAGGTGTTACAGTGTTTAGGATGTTACCACGTGTTGAGGATGTTAGTGTTGAGGATGTTAGTGTTGAGGATGTTACAGTGTGTTGTGGATGTTACAGTGTGTTGTGGATGTTAGTGTTGAGGATGTTACAGTGTTTTCTTGATGTTACAGTGTGTTGAGGATGTTACATTGCGTTGAAGATGTTACAGTGTGTTTAGGATGTTACAGTGTGTTGAAGATGTTACAGTGTGTTGAAGATGTTACAGTGTATTGAGGGTGTTACAGTGTGTTGAGGATGTTACAGTGTGTTGATGTTACAGTGTGTTGATGTTACAGTGTGTTGATGTTACAGTGTGTTGATGATGTTACAGTGTGTTGATGATGTTACAGTGTGTTGAGGATTTTACAGTGTGTTGAGGATTTTACAGTGTGTTGATGTTAATGTTTAGCATGTTACAGTGTGTTGATGATGTTACAGTGTGTTGATGATGTTACAGTTTTTTGAGGATGTTACAGTGTGTTGAGGATTTTACAGTGTGTTGATGTTAATGTTTAGGATGTTACAGTGTGTTGATGATGTTACAGTGTGTTGATGATGTTACAGTTTTTTGAGGATGTTACAGTGTGTTGAGGATGTTAGTGTTGAGGATGTTACAGTGTGTTGAGGATGTTACAGTGTGTTGAGGATGTTACAGTGTGTTGATGTTAGTGTTGAGGATGTTACAGTGGGTTTAGGATGTTACAGTGTGTTGATGTTAGTGTTGAGGATGTTACAGTGTGTTGATGTTGATGTTTATGATGTAACAGTGTGTTGAGGATGTTACTGTGTGTTGAGGATGTTACAGTGTGTTGAGGATGTTACAGTGTTGAGGATGTTAGTGTTGAGGATGTTAGTGTTGAGGATGTTAGTGTTTAAGATGTTACAGTGTGTTGATGTTAGTGTTGAGGATGTTACAGTGGGTTTAGGATGTTACAGTGTGTTGATGTTAGTGTTGAGGATGTTACAGCTTTTTGAGGATGATACAGTGTGTTGATGTTAATGTTTAGGATGTTACAGTGTGTTGATGTTACAGTGTGTCGATGATATTACAGTGTTGATGTTACAGTGTGTTGAGGATGTTACAGTGTGTTGAGGATGTTACAGTACGTTGAGGATGTTAGTGTTGAGGATGTTAGTGTTGAGGAAATGAGTGTTTAGGATGTTAATGTTGAGGATGTTACAGTGTGTTGAGGATGTTACAGTGTGTTGAGGATGTTAGTGTTGAGGATGTTAGTGTTAAGGATGTTACAGTGTGTTGAGGATGTTATATTGTGTTGAGGATGTTATAGTGTGTTGAGGATGTTACAGTGTGTTGAGGATGTTAGTGTTGAGGATGTTAGTGTTTAGGATGTTACAGTGTGTTTAGGATGTTGAAGTGTGTCGAGGATGTTACAGTGTTGATGTTACAGTGTGTTGAGGATGTTACAGTGTGTTGAGGATGTTACAGTGTGTTGAGGATGTTAGTGTTTAGGATGTTAGTGTTGAGGATGTTAGTGTTTAGGATGTTAGTGTTGAGGATGTTTTAGTGTGTTGAAGATGTTACAGTGTGTTGAGGATGTTACAGTGTGTTGAGGATGTTAGTGTTGAGGATGTTAGTGTTAAGGATGTTACAGTGTGTTGAGGATGTTACAGTGTGTTGAGGGTGTTACAGTGTGTTGAGGATGTTAGTGTTAAGGATGTTACAGTGTGTTGAGGATGTTACAGTGTGTTGAGGATGTTAGTGTTTAGGATGTTAGTGTTGAGGATGTTACAGTGTGTTTAGGATGTTACAGTGTGTTGAGGATGTTAGTGTTTAGGATGTTAGTGTTGAGGATGTTACTGTGTGTTGAGGATGTTACAGTGTGTTGAGGATGTTAAAGTGTGTTGAGGATGTTACAATGTTGATGTTACAGTGTGTTGAGGATGTTACTGTGTGTTGAGGATATTACAGTATGTTGAGGATGTTATAGTGTGTTGAGGATGTTAGTGTTAAGGATGTTACAGTGTGTTGAGGGTGTTACAGTGTGTTGAGGATGTTAGTGTTTAGGATGTTAGTGTTGAGGATGTTACAGTGTATTGAGGGTGTTAGTGTTGAGGATGTTAGTGTTTAGGATGTTACAGTGTGTTTAGGATGTTAATGTTGAGGATGTTAGTGTTGAGGATGTTACAATGTGTTGAGGATGTTAATGTTGAGGATGTTAGTGTTGAGGATGTTACAGTGTATTGAGGGTGTTAGTGTTGAGGATGTTAGTGTTTAGGATGTTACAGTGTGTTGAGGATGTTAGTGTTGAGGATGTTAGTGTTGAGGATGTTACAGTGTGAGGATGTTACAGTGTGTTTAGGATGTTACAGTGTGTTGAGGATGTTAATGTTAAGGATGTTAGTGTTAGTGTTGAGGATGTTACAGTGTGAGGATGTTACAGTGTGTTTAGGATGTTACAGTGTGTTGAGGATGTTAATGTTGAGGATGTTAGTGTTTAAGATGTTACAGTGTGTTTAGGATGTTAATGTTGAGGATGTTAGTGTTGAGGATGTTACAATGTGTTGAGGATGTTAATGTTGAGGATGTTAGTGTTGAGGATGTTACAGTGTGTTTAGGATGTTACAGTGTGTTGAGGATGTTAGTGTTTAGGATGTTAGTGTTGAGGATGTTAGTGTTGAGGATGTTACAGTGTGAGGATGTTAGTGTGTTTAGGATGTTACAGTGTGTTGAGGATGTTAATGTTTAGGATGTTAATGTTTAGGATGTTAGTGTTAGTGTTGAGGATGTTACAGTGTGAGGATGTTACAGTGTGTTTAGGATGTTACAGTGTGTTGAGGATGTTAATGTTTAGGATGTTAGTGTTGAGGATGTTACAGTGTGTATAGGATGTTACAGTGTGTTGAGGATGTTAGTGTTGAGGATGTTACAGTGTTGAGGATGTTAGTGTTGAGGATGTTACAGTGTGTTGAGGATGTTAATGTTGAGGATGTTAGTGTTGAGGATGTTACAGTGTGTTGAGGATGTTAATGTTGAGGATGTTAGTGTTGAGGATGTTACAATGTGTTGAGGATGTTAATGTTGAGGATGTTAGTGTTGAGGATGTTACAGTGTGAGGATGTTAGTGTGTTTAGGATGTTACAGTGTGTTGAGGATGTTAATGTTTAGGATGTTAGTGTTAGTGTTGAGGATGTTACAGTGTGAGGATGTTACAGTGTGTTTAGGATGTTACAGTGTGTTGAGGATGTTAATGTTTAGGATGTTAGTGTTGAGGATGTTACAGTGTGTATAGGATGTTACAGTGTGTTTAGGATGTTACAGTGTGTTGAGGATGTTATAGTGTGTTGGGGATGTTAGTGTTTAGGATGTTACAGTGTGTTGAGGATGTTACAGTGTGTTTAGGATGTTACAGTGTGTTGAGGATGTTATAGGTGTTGAGGATGTTAGTGTTTAGGATGTTACAGTGTGTTTAGGATTTTAAAGTGTGTTGAGGATGTTACAGTGTGTTGAGGACTGTCCATGTCTGTCTGCAGCCACACTGGTGCTGCCCGGTCAGCTGTAGATAATCTCACCAAGTCTCTGGCCATCGAGTGGGCGGCGGACGGTGTGCGAGTCAACTCTGTAGCACCTGTGAGTAAAGCTGACATACTCAGTAGTATTGTACCATTAAAACATCAATGAAATAGGGCTACTGTATTCACTATATCACTTCCGTGATAGGAAACAGAATCAGCACAATATGGAAGAGACAAATTCTTAAACATATTCATACTTCATGAATATCATTGCTTTTTGTTTGCATGCATGCATAAATGACATACTAATTTGGGACAGTATGTTTCATGTACGAGTTTGGGACGGAATGCATAATGTACCAGTTTGGGACAGTTTGTACCAAGTTCAAGTTTGGGACAGAATGTATCATGTACTACTTTGAGACGGAATGCACCATGTACCAGTTTGGTACGGAATGTATCATGTACCAGTTTGGGACAGAATGCACCATGTACCAGTTTGGGACAGAATGTATCATGTACCAGTTTGGGACAGAATGTATCATGTACCAGTTTGGGACAGTATGTAACATGTACCAGTTTGGGACAGTATGTATCATGTACCAGTTTGGGACAGAATGTATCATGTACCAGCTTTGGACAGAATGTATCATGTACCAGTTTGGGACAATATGTATCATGTACCAGCTTGTGACAGTGTGTATCATGCGCCAGCTTGTGACAGTGTGTATCATGCGCCAGCTTGTGACAGTGTGTATCATGCACCAGCTTGTGACAGTGTGTATCATGTACCAGCTTTGGACAGTGTGTATCATGTACCAGTTTGGGACAGTGTGTATCATGTACCAGCTTGGGACAGTATTGTCTGATGCTTGCAGGGAAGTTCCATCTACTCGGAGACTGCTGCCGCCAACTATGGAGATTCCAATATCTTTTCCCGCAACATTCCATCGGTGCCAGCTAAACGACTCGGGACAACAGAGGAGGTAAACATACATAGACTGTGGAGGCATATGTCAAGTTGTATTATGTTTCAAACTGCAGGCTCTTCACTGTTTTTGAATTGATTGAAGTATAAAGGCTCAAAGCCACAGCTTCTTAGTCATGTGACCTGGCTGCTTATCCAGTAGGAAAGATTATATCGTGTGAACATCAGAGGTGGTCGGGTAGCATGGGTAGCCTAGTGGTTAAGCGAAGACCCGGGTTTGATTCCCGACATGGGTACAATGTGTGAAGCCCTTTTCTGGTGTCCCCTACAGTGATACTTTATTCACTCACTCACTCACTCACTCACTGTGTGAGCATTACTTTAATTATTGTTTTAATATTGATATGCGACACACATCTATGTGGCAACATATCAAGATATCTTTGGGCGGTCGGGTAGCCTAGTGGTTAAAGCGTTCGCTCGCCATGCCGAAGACCCGGGTTCTATTCCTGACATGGGTACAATGTGTGAAGCCCGCCGTGATATTGCTGGAATATTGCTAAAAGCGGTGTAAAACAATTCTCACTCACTCAAGATATTTTGCTCTGTTGCAATCAGGGTGGTAAGCATAGGACCTACAAGCTTGGAGCTGTGAGCACTGGTAAAGGACCTCTATGCTGTAGGAGATGCGAGAACCAGTATAGGATTTAGGTGCTTGGAGTTGAGAGCACCAGTATAGGACCTAGATGCTAGGATAGTTTGATAATGGCTGGAGATGATTGCAGATCTCCACAGTCTCCATGTCTCCATCCACAGGTATCTGCGGCTGTGTGTTTCTTGCTTTCTCCAGCCGCATCCTTCATCTCAGGAGAGACCCTCAAAGTGGATGCCGGATCAAGCATCTACCCCTCTATGACCTGGACCATACCTGGTGAGTCTGGTCTGTGACCTTGAGTATACCCAATAAGTCCCTCTCTGATCAGAATACCTGGTGGGTACCATAAATATTACCTGCAGAATACCTGGTTAGTCTGTTCTCTGACCTGGAGAATACCTGGTGAGTCTGTTTTATGACCTGCAGAATACCTGGTGAGTCTGTTCTATGACCTGGAGAATACTTGGTGAGTCTGTTCTATGACCTGTAGAATACTTGGTGAGTTCCATATATGACCTGGACAATACCATCAAAGTACCCTCTATGACCCAAAGAATACATGGTGACTCCCTTCTGTGACCTAGAGAATACCTGGTGAGTGTTCTATGACCTGTGGAATATTTAGTGAGTCCCATATATGACCCGTAGAATACCATCAAGGTCCCCTCTATGACCAAGAGAATACATGGTGAGTCTGTTCTATACCAGGTGAGTCTGTTCTATACCTGGTGAGTCTGTTCTATACCAAGTGGTACTGTTCTATACCAGGTGAGTCTCTTCCTTTCTTACACTGGAGAACACCTCTAATACCTCCTAATTTTTCAAGGGGTTCCAATCTTTTTTTCAACATGATCACCATGACAACCTTATTTAAATAACCGTCTTTTACCATTACTTTGCTGTTATGAGGCATATGTGTATATGCTTAAGAAGATATTTTACACCGTAATATTTCGCTAAGACATATGACAGACATTGTAAGCATGTAGCATAGCAACTTCGTAAATTAAACTTGAAGTAGGCACATTGCTCATTATGACACAAAGGATGTGTCAGTCATTTATAGAAAAGCGCCAAAATTTAAGCTCGCTGTTGTCCTCAAAACTGGAAATACATTCACTTCGTATATTTCTGGACAAAATGTATGACCACACATCCTTTGAATATTGTAGTGACAGCAACTTTGCATTTTGTAACCTATAATTGTACATATAACTGTTTAAAAAGCCTACCAATGATAACTTCAAAAGAAATACTGTTCTATAAATATTATCTTCCATGGAGACGTGTCCGTCAAGTTGTCTGTTTAAATCAGAGGGTTTTGTTGTGATTTGATAACCTCTGATTAACCAATCAGAATCGAGTAATTTCCAAATTCATGGTAGCATGCTGATTATAATGCATTAAGCAACCTTGAGTCTCCTTATTGCTATAATCATTCACACAAGCATTTTTAATAATTGTTCCTGGGAATATTACCTTTGAACCTTTTTTTAATTCTCTTTGCGTAGTTATTTTTTATGAAACAACAATCAAGACGATTTGAACATTACTTGATAACCTATGACATGTTAAGAAATCCTGCTTACAATTTCACGATTTCAGAGCACAAGAAACTTCCTGCTTATCGCTGGGATGATGATGATGATAGTACAAGCGGATCACAAAACACCCCGAAGTCCAAGTTATAACATAGGGTCCATATTCTGAAAATTAATATCCAGTTTCTGACCACCTGATCTGTGTTGGCCCATATGACTCAAGACACAGAGGAGGTTGTTTGGTACTGTTTCACCTCCATGTTTAAACTGATTTAGGGTAAAGCTTTCTGCGGAGTTTTTTATAACCAGGCAGCTATATTATATATTTTATGCAATTATGTCCACTATTGAATCATAGATTTGTGTATCGTCGGATCAACTGTTTTCGGACATCAAACGTTTTCATACGGCCATGTTTATTGCAAGTACTCCTGCTAAAATGAGGGTTGTGGGGTCACACAGACATTGTAAGTACTGAGATGATGGCTTGATTCTACGATAAAGTGAGTGAGATGTTTTACGGTTGTTCTTGTCATTAGCAAGAAAACTACGAATGTTTCTTTACCGTCCGAAAACCCATAACACGGGGATATTTGCAAATAAAATTGTATTGCAATACATATTGGGATATATTAGGAGCTAAAGTGTTTGACACTCATTGACAAGGATTGTCCATTCTGATCCTATTTACTACAAACTGAAGTAAATATTTCTTAGCATTTCTAGCTGCCTTTTTGTAGTCATGGATACAGGGGAGATAACAAAACAATGTGAGATAACTATCAAGTCCTCATTTCTGCCATTTTGTCAATCAATTTCAAAGGGGAACATCATTTTAAAAGGTTTTATGTGTAGATTTTAGGTTTAAATGTATAATTAATATCAAAACTTGTTCTAATTTTTTCACCCAATATACAGAAACACGCAAAATATTGCAATATGTATCATTTGAAAAGCGTGATCAGTATACCGGTATATCAATAATACTGAGCAGTCCTACTAATGATGTATGTTTTTATGAAGGTGAGACTGATCTTTTCATGATTAACGGATCTACTTGTTCAATATGCAAGTGGAGCAAAATACAAAACACAAGTTTCAGATTTGATTTGAACTCTTGAAATTATGACTGAAGTAAAATACGAACAAGGTAAGAATATTTGTAATCAAACAAAGTGTAATTGTAATTTTTGTTGGGAAAAAAATATAGACTCTTCTTTAAAACAAGTAAATTGGGCAGGCGTAACATAAAAATGAAATTGACAGTTCAGACATCCATTTGTGCCAAAAACTTAGTCTTGTTTTGTGTGTTCTGTTTTCTCATAATATAAAAAACTTGTATTGCCTAAGCTTGTATCAGGCTTTGGACTATCACAGCCTAGGTCTAATGGAGTAACTTCATTTACTGGTTCAAGTCAAGTCCTGGGGGGCATGGGTGGAACAGTCGTCCAAGGTGCGACAATTTTCTGAGCAGATCTCCGTCCACTGGGCATGCCATAATCCTATGCTCATGACTTCGAATCCCTGTTTGCCATGATTATGTTTTTAGGTTTGTCAGCACCATACCAATGCTCATGGGTTTCACGAAAGTGGTAAATATCTAAGACCTGTATCACTTAGGGATTTCCTTCCACATAAAGCTGAGACACATATAACTGGAACACTGTTCAAAGCAGCGTTAAACCAACTCACTCCCTTATACAGGTGTTTTTTCTATGTACCCAGAGGAACATCACGTGTATCACATGAAAGGGAGGCGGAACATTTGTGCTGAATGTTTGTAACCAGGCCCAGGAGGGACACAGCCTGTGCATTCCTGATGAAGGAAGGTGTGCCCATGTTGTGAGGGGTATTTGACTGATATACTAATCAGTGTAGTACCCAACTCGGTCGGAGTGGAGTAGTACCCAACTCGGTCGGAGGGGAGTAGTACCCAACTCAATCATAGTGGAGTAGTACCCAACTCGGTCAGAGTGGAGTAGTACCCAACTCAATCGTAGTGGAGTAGTACCCAACTCGGTCAGAGGGGAGTAGTACCCAACTCAATCGTAGTGGAGTAGTACCCAACTCAATCATAGTGGAGTAGTACCCAACTCGGTCAGAGTGGAGTAGTACCCAACTCGGTCAGAGGGGAGTAGTACCCAACTCAATCGTAGTGGAGTAGTACCCAACTCAATCGTAGTGGTGTAGTACCAAACTCATTCGGGGGGGAGTAGTACCCAACTCAATCGTAGTGGAGTAGTACCCAACTCATTCGGGGGGGGAGTAGTACCCAACTCGGTCAGAGTGGTGTAGTACCCAACTCGGTCAGAGGGGAGAAGTACCCAACTCGGTCAGAGTGGAGAAGAACCCAACTCAATCGTAGAGGAGTAGTACCCAACTCGGTCAGAGCGGAGAAGTACCCAACTCTGTCAGAGTGGAGTAGTACCCAACTCAATCGTAGTGGAGTAGTACCCAACTCGGTCAGAGGGGAGTAGTACCCAACTCAATCGTAGTGGAGTAGTACCCAACTCAATCATAGTGGAGTAGTACCCAACTCGGTCAGAGTGGAGTAGTACCCAACTCGGTCAGAGGGGAGTAGTACCCAACTCAATCGTAGTGGAGTAGTACCCAACTCAATCGTAGTGGTGTAGTACCCAACTCATTCGGGGGGGAGTAGTACCCAACTCAATCGTAGTGGAGTAGTACCCAACTCATTCGGGGGGGGAGTAGTACCCAACTCGGTCAGAGTGGTGTAGTACCCAACTCGGTCAGAGGGGAGAAGTACCCAACTCGGTCAGAGTGGAGAAGAACCCAACTCAATCGTAGAGGAGTAGTACCCAACTCGGTCAGAGCGGAGAAGTACCCAACTCTGTCAGAGTGGTGTAGTACCCAACTCAGTCAATGAACTGAGTTCATTTTGTTTCATATTGATCTGTACAGACATTGTTATTCAAGTTGTTAAAATGAATAAATGATGATTTTGTCTCAAAGTGAAGGTGTTTGATTATGTGACTAGGTATGTGATGAACCATAGGTCCAGGTTGTCCTGTCGGTACCGGGGTCCTACTCAGGACCCATTCGAGTACCGAGCTACCCATACCAGCCCTCGTGCATTTGAGGTCCAGCAATGAACATGTGTAATAAAGACGACCTACACATGTCTGTAATTTGTAATGTAATAAATTGTACAGAAACAGATGAACTCTGAACACAGCGATACCCAGATCAATACATCACAGCTAATTGCAAGAACCTCTTAAATAAACGGGGGTATGGATGGCCCAGTCGTCTAAGGCGCCACAATTCGCCGTGCAGAGTTGCGTCCCTTGGGCACGCCAGAAACCTATGATTGTGGGTTCGAATCCCGGTTCTCCCCGATTATGTTTCTTGGTTTGTCAGCACCAAACCCGTGCTCGTGGGTTTTACCGAAGTGGTAAACGTCTGAGGCCTGCATCATTTCGGGCTTACCCCTCCACATTAAGCTGACACGCCGTGATATAACTGGAATATTGTTAAAAGCGGCGTTAAACCTAGCTCACTCACACCCAAAACAAATATCTACGTAGAGGATACTTTCATCTTCACGTCATTGAGGACATCACATTCAGCATAAATCTGATAAACGTTTGAAAAACGAAAAACGGATAGATTAAAGGCAATGGATACACATGTAGATATAGATTATAGGCAATGGATATACATTAGGTCATGTAGATATAGATTATAGGCAATGGATATACATATATATGAATATGTTACAATTCTTAGCAAGCCATCGCCGTCGAGATGAACCAATGTATAACATTATCTGCCTCCATTATAAAGAGACATTTTGCAGTCATTTTGTGATCATTTCACAACCGTGAAATTGACGTTCATAAGTGTATGACCGACACAATTTGACGTTCATACGTTTTTCACGAGACCGTGTTCTTGAAATGACGTAAACACTGACGGACTACTTCCACATTCCTGGGGAAACCCCTGGGAATTCCCTTTGTATTTTTTTACCGAATGGCTGCACCTACGGCCCTAGTGTCAGTATACATTGAGAAACGTCAGAGAGTTTGACTGCATGACTGTTCACGAATATGATCCTATTGGCCCATCCTAATGAACAAAACAAAGAAATGCACATCGCAAACAATCGAAGTATCTACTCGATCCGTGTCTAGGCTGACAGTGACAGTCTACATCAATCTATGAATTTACCTTAGTGTCTGTTTGACACATCTTTAATCACCTTTCAATGATCGACGAGTTGATCAATGATGAGTAACACATGTTACCACCACAGGTTCATTAACAACTTCGGAAATCTCTCCCGTCACGTTTATCGTGTCGGCCATTTTGACGTCTTGTACTTGATGTAAATGTATTACGACGCGCTGTCATTGTGACTGACTTACTAAGGTAGTTCTTAACAGACCTTTCTCATCTAATGTCATTATGAGGATATTATTTGAGTACATTTGTTCTAAGGAAACTACAAAAGTTGTCCCTGTTGAGCATGTTGAGCATACATAAGCTCGTGTCACCTCTCGTTTTGAGGAACTATTTTATTCCGCGATACAGCTGGTTGTTGTATGGCTGTCAGTGTAAACAGGAAGTCACACATACTTAATATACTTGTGTATAGATCAAGGTCTACGTCCTTTGAGGGAAAACGAGTTATATAAATTTTTTTTATAAGAATTGACTTTCACTTTGTGTGAATGCATTGCAGTATGAACCTTCACAGAGTGAGTCGCAAGCTCCGATGTTCATACAGTTTGGACCTCCTTCTCTATGAAGGTCCATGCATACTCCAATGAATTCACAGAAAGTGAAACTCAATTCTTATTTTTGTGTGTATATAACTAGTTTTTCCTCAAATGGCGTAGACCTCGATCTGGTGCTGATTGCGACGGGTGACACTATTCACTCATTGACTGTAATGACCAGTAATCAGTGTTATTCTATCATGGACATTCAACCAATATTTAGAATAGTTTGGTACGAGTTGATAGAACGACCCAAAGAACGGGACACACTCTGCCATCAATGAACGCAATACTAGAATTAGTTGGGCACAAGTTGATAGAACAACCTAAAGAACGGGACACACCCTGCCATCAATGAACGCAATACCAGAATTAGTTGGGCACGAGTTGATAGTACGTCCAGTCTGCGCTGTCTTGTTCTCCGTCAGTCTCGGTGAACAGCAGCTCACAGTTGATGTCCATTGGCGACGCGTTCAGTAGGAAGTTCACACCTTCACATTCCGCGTAGTTGAGGCAGAAGGAGAAACAAGCTTGGAGGGATGGTACAGTGAGTAACTTCATCCGCTGTGACGTCATTCTTTTTCCTACATTTGCGAGCTGATCTCGGGACTGAACTGTAACAGATAACTGTACTGTGAACGTTGTTTGAAAATAATTATAATAATTCTCGTGGATCCTTTATGTTTATCATGCCTACCATTATGCAGTAGAAATAATAGCAATAGGTTTCTCTAGGGACAAGGGACCGCCTCCGTGGTCTAGTGGTAGAGCGTCCGCCCGGAGAGCGGAAGGTCCGGGGTTCGATCCCCGGCCGCGTACTACAGAAAGACGTTAAAAGATGGTACTTGTTGTTACCCTGTCTGGCGCTCGGCATTAAGGGGCTAAAACAAGGACTGGTCGGCTCGGAGTCAGTATACTGTGTCTGAGTGGGGTATTCATGTTAAACTGCGGCATGGTACCTCAGTGAGCTAGCACTATCTAGCACTATCGGCATCAGTCCGGACTAGTACAAGCAGCCACACACACACATACACGTGCACTGCACTACTCCTGCTACGCGACGGCAGCCTGTTAACAAACCACATAATGGAGTTATGGTCCAGAAAGTCCAACTCAAAGGTAGCGCACTTACTTAACCCAAAACTACGTTAATTTTTCTGCGAGGCAGGAGTAGTGCAGTGCGGCGTCAGCCAACAACAAACAGTAGCAGGTGCTGGTAGGACAGGACATGTCTACCCTTTTCGTGGACACCTGATGATATCACTGATATTTAGTAACATAACATTTACAGCACTTATAACGAAGCACAGTTGATGTCTTTCGCTCGTGGACGTATATAAGCTTATGTCTCATACAAACCTTGGGATTGGCTGCATTCAGGGATCACTTTCTGAAATGAAACAAATTATAGACATCAATTCATTACACTTGCACAAATAATAATGCTACATTGAAGAGGTCATCTGAAGTTCGAGATAAACGATATTATATTTTATTCACAAGATAAGTTTCAAGAAAATCATGTTTTTGAGTTCCGGTTGACAACTTTGATTTTAACAGAAGAAACTATTCAAGCGCACACTCATACAACCAAGTCTGTCAGCCTCAAAGACTTTAACACAACAACCAAAACATAATTGGAATTCAGCTGCTGTACACTTAAAGCGAGGCCATACTAAACATACAGTGTGGTTCATAAATATACAACGATAAAGCCCCGCAGTGAATAAAACTAAGCTTGCCAGCTCTTTAACAGTGTATGCATTTTTGAACGGGGATTATTCTCCCGATACTGCCCATCTTAAATGATATGCTGAGATGTGGAGTTTGGGTTAAGGTTCACTGAACGCTTGCAGCACTCCAGACAATACACCAAAAGAATAAACCGATACGTCCACAATAATTCAACAAAGTAGCCGTTCATGCAGATGTTTCAAATATATACAAGGTTTTACTGCGACACCATCTGTACATTTTGATGCGCCCATATATATATATGCAGGGGATAGTCGTAGTAATTGAGTTGTAAGGGATCGAGACACCACAAATAGAATAAATCAATTCATGTCTAGTGATTTTCAATATTAAATACTCAATAATATCTTAAATACATTTATTCTAGATAATAATCAGTCTCAATTATCTGCTGAAACAGATTGCGTTGTGCATAAAAGGCAAAACTGCAGTGACAATTGTGTGAATGAATCACTCATAATCAGTGACAAGCGAAAAGAGTGTGCAAGTCCTGCCATCTTATTACTGAATATATCCTTTGTATTTATGCTTTTCACTGTGTAATTCAATAAATATTACTTACATCTCTTTCATTGGCTTCAAATGCAATTGCATATGCTTGACAATAGTCGAAGCCCAGTATATACACAGCCAACGGCTTCCCTCGTCTGTGTCTCAGGACTCTGGCCTCCATATTATCTGTCACCAGATAGAAGCAGGCTGAGATATTGGTGTTCGTGACTGGCATCCATGCTGCTCCTGAGAGGGCAACGTCGTCCAACAGAATGTCGTCCACGCCGTCGTTCTCGACCATGATGACAAGGTATCTACGGGGGCCAGAGAACGCTGTGGCATCCGGCACTGTGATTGTGTAAAGCAGGCCCCTCAGTGGAAGGGGATGAAGCATGTACGTGGACACATCACCCTGGATACTGCCAGAATGACCTGATCCGGTTGTCATGGATACGACTACTGGTTTCGACATTTCAATCAATTTGAACTGATTTCGCTGAATACGTAGCCTAGTTATCTCCCTTGCATTGGCGAGTATTGACGTTGTTCCATCAAACGAGATCTCTGTGTCGGCTTGTGTGGAGACGATGTTAATGTAATCCTGGACATCAGACAAAGGTAATCCAAAAGCAATGTAATTAGTACCTATTTTATCTAAACTAAGAAGTTGAGTTATTTGCCCGTCCGCACAAAGATCCATGGAAGATGAGGTCCTATTTACTCCAGTCAAAACGGCAATAGGTTTGTTGGATGTGATGTACGTTCCAGAAAGCTCACTGGCAGATTGAATCTGAAACGTTTGGTTCTCCTGCAATGTGACTGAAAATTCCCTAGATAATATCTCCGAAAGTCCATTTATTACTGCAGAAATGTTAGCATGTGACTCTGGAAGGCTGACCTTCACCTGAGTGTTTGGGAAAGGGGAGACTACTCCCACCGTTGCTGCACCGAATGAACTGTAGGAGTCAGGCGCCACGACCACATACTCCTTTCCCAGTTGGCTCGTCTCCTTCACTTGATACATATCAAGGTTCGACCCTTCAGCGTTCAGTGCTAGCACTGTAACATCGTCGGAGGCCACGACGCGGATTATCCTGTTTGACGTCGTAGTTCCTGTCGGCATCTGTACATCATGGGACAATATGACCTTGGTTCTTTGTCCTGGGTCAAGCGTGAGGTTTTGGAAAGGAGCTGCGTTGTTTAGATAAGGAACAATCACTTGAACTGTAACTGGTTGAGGGCGCGATGAGGTTATGTACAGGTACATATTTTTGGCCAGGCTATCAAAGTTCTGTGTAAAAACCGTCACGTATGTTCTTTCTGAAATTGAGAATGATAAAGTGATCAGTTTCAAAGCAGACGAATAACCAATGCCGAACATGAATATACTTGGTTCTGCAGCTTGGAACCCTCATCAACTCATCAATGTACCTGAAGCTTACGTTAAACTTTTGGTCTAATTCCCTTTTTTTCAGTGTGGTGTAAAGTCCAGTCCTTGTGACTGCCAGGGTTCATCATGTAACTTCCAACCTACTGGACATATTATCTACTCTATTGTTGATAACACCAACATTCGTCAGTTATTTAAATATGGACCGACCCGTGAAGATTCCTGGGTAGAATAGGTCTTCAGCAACCCATGCTTGCCGCAAAAGGCGACTCTGCTTGCTCATGAGTGCGGCGTTAAACAACAAACCAACCAACCAACTAATAAGGACCAAACTTTCGTGAACAGCCTCTACCAAGGCCGGTTACAAGTTTAAGATCGTTATAGATACTGTCAAAGTGTATGCCAAAACAATGATCAATATAGAAGTTGAACCTACTGAGTGGATTACTTCAAATTATTTTTAGTGTGAAGTTTACACGGTATAGAGCGTTTCCATTGGACGCGATTCCGGTCACATTGACCTCGTTCATACGAAGCTGTATTCTTGAAATGATATAAACACTGACGGACTACTTCCATACTGTACCTTTTCCCTCAGCGACGTCCATCAGTTGCACTTCCCTCTAATAAATTGAGTACTCGGTAATAAAGAATGCAGATTAGAGACAGATATTCCCGAGAGACATCACTCACAAGGGGAGGGTGGGAGGTTGACACAAAATACCTCTTTTCACATGGATACACCAATGTCTCCTTCCTCCACTCTGGACACGTAGTACGACCTCACCCTTGTCAAATCGAGAAAGCGGCTAACGGTTCGTTTCATCGCCAGATGTCGCTGAGGATCTACCCACATGTTTCCTTAGTACTGCATGAACACTACATAAACACTTTATCTACGAAATGAACATTGCATGTAATAAGTGAATACTGCATGTATCGCATGAACACTACATAAACGCTCCATGTACTGCATGAACACTGCATGTACTTCATGAACACTACCGTATGTACTGCATGAATACTGCATGTACAGCATGAACACTGCATGTACCGCATGAACACTGCATGTACTGCATGAACACTGCATATACTGCATGAACACTGCATGTACTTCATTAACACAGCATGTACCACATGAACATTCCATTTACTGCATGAACACTCCATGTACCACATGAACACTGCATGTACCACATGAACACTCTATGTACTGAATGAACACTGCATGTACTGAATGAACACTGCAAGAACACTGCATGTACCACATGAACACTCTATGTACTGAATGAACACTGCATGTACTGAATGAACACTGCATGTACTGCATGTACTGCAAGAACACTGCATGTACCACATGAACACTGCATGTACTGCAAGAACACTGCATCTACTGCATGTACAGCATGAACACTGAATGTACCACATGAACACTGCATGTACGTCAAGAACACTGAATGTACTGCATGAACACTGCATGTACCAAATGAACACTGCATGTACGTCATGAACACTGAATGTACTGCATGAACACTGCATGTACCACATGAACACTGCATGTACTGAATGAACACTGCATGTACCACATGAACACTGCATGTACCACATGAACACTGCATGTACCACATGAACACTGCATGTACCACATGAACACTGCATGTACGACATGAACACTGCATGTACTTCATGAACACAGCATGTACCACATGAACATTCCATTTACTGCATGAACACTCCATGTATCACATGAACACTGCATGTACTTCATGAACACAGCATGTACCACATGAACATTCCTTTTACTGCATGAACACTCCATGTACCACATGAACACTGCATGTACCACATGAACACTGCATGTACCACATGAACACTCTATGTACTGAATGAACGCTGCATGTACTGCAAGAACACTGCATGTACCACATGAACACTGCATGTACTGCAAGAACACTGCATCTACTGCATAAACACTGCATGTACAGCATGAACACTATATGTACCACATGAACACTGCATGTACCACATGAACACTGCATGTACTGCAAGAACACTGCATCTACTGCATAAACACTGCATGTACAGCATGAACACTGCATGTACCACATGAACACTGCATGTACTGCAAGAACACTGCATCTACTGCATAAACACTGCATGTACCACATGAACACTGCATGTACCACATGAACACTGCATGTACGTCATGAACACTGAATGTACTGCATGAACACTGCATGTGCCACATGAACACTGCATGTACTGCATGAACACTGCATGTACAACATGAACACTGCATGTACCACATGAACACTGCATGTACAGCATGAACAATGCATGTACTGCATGAACACTGCATGTACTTCATGAACACTGCATATACCACATGAACACTCCATGTTCAGCATGAGTACTGCATGTACAACATGAACACTGCATGTACGGCATGAACACTGCATGTACAGCATCAAAACTCCATGTATCACATGAACACTGCATATACCACATGAACACTCCATGTACGGCATGAACACTGCATGTACCACATGAACACTGCATGTACCACATGAACACTACATGTACGGCATGAACACTGCATGTACCACATGAACACTGCATGTACCACATGAACACTGCATGTACTGAATGAACACTGAATATACTGCATGAACACTGCATGTACCTCATGAACACTGCATGTACCACGTCATGAATACTCCATGTACCACATGAACACTGCATGTACCGCATGAACACTGCATGTGCCGCATGAACACTGCATGTACCACATGAACACTGCATGTACCACATGAACACAGCATGTACCACATGAACACTGCATGTACTGCATCAAAACTCAGTGTATCACATGAACACTGCAAATACCACATGAACACTCCATGTACAGCATGAACACTGCATGTACGGCATGAACACTGCATGTACCATATGAACACTGCATGTACCACATGAACACTGCATGTACAGCATGAACACTGAATGTACTGCAAGAACAATGCATGTACCTCATGAACACTGCATGTACCACGTCATGAACACTGCATGTACCACATGAACACTGCATGTACCGCATGAACACTGCATGTACTGCATGAACACTGCATGTACCACATGAACACTGCATGTACTGCATGAACACTGCATGTACCACATGAACACAGCATGTACCACATGAACACTGCATGTACCACATGAACACTGCATGTACCGCATGGACACTGCATAAACACTGCATATTTCGCATGAACACTGCATGTACTGCATGAACACTGCATGTACTGCAAGAATATTGCATGTACTGCAAGAATATTGCATGTACTGCAAGAATATTGCATATACAGCATGAACACTGCATGTACTGCATGAACACTGCATGTACCACATGAACACAGCATGTACTGCATGAACACTGCATGTACTGCAAGAATATTGCATGTACTGCAAGAATATTGCATATACAGCATGAACACTGCATGTACTGCATGAACACTGCATGTACCACATGAACACAGCATGTACCACATGAACACTGCATGTACCGCATGGACACTCCATTTACCGCATGGACACTGCATGAACACTTCATGTACTGCATGAACACTGCATGTACTGCAAGAATATTGCATGTACAGCATGAACACTGCATCTAAAGGATCAACACTGCATGTACCGCATGAACACTATATACCACGTGAAAACTGCATGTACGGCATGAACACTGCATGTACCACATGAACACTGCATGTACTGCATGTACTTCATGAACACTGCATGTAACACATGAACACTGCATGTACCACATGAACACCATTTGTACCACATGAACACTGCATGTACCTCATGAACACTGCATGTACCACATGACCACTGCATGTACAGCATGAACACTACATGTACCACATGAACACTCTATGTACCACATGAACATAACATGTACCACATGAACACTCCATGTACCATATTAACACTGCATGTACCACATGAACACTGCATGTACCACGTCATGAACACTGCATGAAAGGAGTGAAAACTGCATGTACTGCAAGAACACTATATGTACTGCATGAACACTATATCTACCATTTGAACACTGCATGTACTGCAAGAACAATGCATGTACCGCATGAACACTGCATGTACAACTTGAACACTGCATCTACCACATGGACACTACATGTACACCATGAACACTGCATAAACACTTTATGTACCACATGAACACTGCATCTACTGCAAGAATACTGCATGTACCGCATGAACACTGCATGTACCACATGAACACTGCATGTACCGCATGTACCGCATGAACACTGCATGTACCGCATGAACACTGCATGTACTGCAAGAAAACTTCATGTACTGCAAGAACACTTTATGTACCACATGAACACTGCATGTACTGCATAAACACTGCATGTACCGCATGAACACTGCATGTACAACTTGAACACTGCATCTACCACATGAACACTACATGTACCGCATGGACACTACATGTACCGCATGGACACTACATGTACAGCATGAACACTGCATAAACACTTTATGTACCACATGAACACTGCATGTAATAAGTGAATACTGCATGTACTGCATGAACACTGCATGTACAGCATGAACACCATATGTACCGCATATACACTACATTAACACTCCATGTACTGCACGAACACTGCAGCTACTGCATGAACCGCATGTACACCATATGTACACTGCATGTACCGCATGAGCACTGCATGTACCACATGAACACTACATGAACACTCCATGTACTGCATGTACTTCATGAACACTCTATGTACTGCATAAACACTGCATGTACTGTATGAACACTGCATGTACCATATGAACACTGTATGTACCGCATGTACCTCATGAACACTGCATGTATCGCATGTACCACATGAAC